CTGGCTTACGGAGTTGTTAATTAGGCTACCCTCTGCTGACTAGTTCCCGGGATATCTCGGTCCACCTTCCCCTTCTTTGAGGTCCTCAACGTTGCGGTTCCTTCGGCCTCGCCTTCGAGTTTCCTTTTCAAAGGCCGCAAAGCCCTAGAATGCGCTGGTGTCTTTGCTGTAGGCACAGCTGCGGCTGTTGTAGTCTGTACTGTCGGAGCAGCTGTCCGTCTGAATGCCGGGGGAGGGACCGGCATTGGAGCATCGTAATCGGCTAGCTTCTTTCTTTCACGGCCTTTTCGCTTTTCCCGCTTACAGCGTTCCTTCCGGTCCTCGAACGGCGCCTTTCGAGCCGCCATGGCTAGTTCGTACTCGGCCTCTGACGACGACGGCCCTTCATGTCCGTTGAGGGGCTTGCCCGGCTTGCGCCCTGACTTATGTCCATTCTTGACACGTGCTCTCGGCTTGGTTCGGTCAGGACCTTCTGCTTGCCCTCTTCAACGGACTTTGCGAACTTTTGTGTCATTTTGGAGTGGTAATCCTATTTCTGGCTATTAGTGTCATGTGCGTGACGGCAAAATGGTCGGCTGGTAGATCTGTATGTGTTTGTTGTGGACGCAAGTGTAACATAATTGCCGGCAGGGCAAAGATTTTGCTGCGTCCACGACGACTGGCTCAAGAACCCCTTTTAGGGTATTGGTCTTCCCACTTGGGGCAACCAGGCAAGCGCGATTGATCTTCAGAAACACGATAAGCTCGTAAGCTCTCCGACGTGCCATGTCAGGTAATAACAAATGCTGGGCTTGTTCCATAGGTGACGACAAGAGGCGCAACTCGAGACTTACAAGCAGCTTCCTGTTGAGCTCCTCCTTCGAAAGCTCGGGCTTTGCGTGGCTACTCGATGTCAATGGAGGCATCCACAGTACTTTGAGCGCTACTGACGCTGTTCCCTCCGCTTTAGCTTTCTCCTCGGCCTCGGCCTTTCTTCTTCTTATCTCGGGATTGATGAAAGCTTGGGCAGCTATCGCCTCTGCAATACCTTTTGTCAGTCAATATGAACGGCAAACGCATAGATACCACGAACCCCATTCGTCAACTACGATATAAGTTAGTAAATTCAACACTCAGACTCAGGCAACGGATATACTGACGCTTTTCTTCTTGCTGCTGAAAGGTCATGTCCTCCCATGAGTCCGTCTTGGCGAAGACTGCAATTCCGTCAGCAACTAAAAATCACCAAGAACGAACCGCAAGAGAAGGCCTTTCACGCAAATGGCTTACCCGAGTTCCAGTCGACCTTCGGCTGTACCTTCGGTTTGGGAGCCATGGCTGCTGGTGAAGGTTAAGCCGGACAGTAGACTCACGATGTGAGTCGCGATCGATTTGGGAGCAAACAAGGGTTTATTTTCCTCCGGAGGAAGGGGAAGGGGGAGCTCTGCGAATCAGCAATTCACCCTACCAGGAATTCACCCAAAGCAGTAAATCACCCCAAGCAGGAATCCACCCGAAGCAGCTCCTTCCTCTTGAGTTTCGCCAGACCTTCGACGCTAGCCCTTCCATCAGCTGCCCTCCTGCCCTCCGAGGCCCCTTTTTCGTGCAGAATAACCTCACGTTGGCTCAGATTCTCCTTGGCTAACCAGCAAAGGACCTCAAGACTGCGAACACGACCAATCTGTGGCCTCCATGTTTGTTTTTCTTTTCTTTCTTTCCCTTTTTTTTTTCTTTCTTTCGCACACGCGTCTACCTAGGAAGATCATCTATGTAACTCCAGGGCCTCGCTCCCGCCATGTCGGCTTCGCATAACCTGTATCCGTATGAGGGAGCTGAGAATCTTTCGGATTCCTTTTTCCGGAAACCTCTCCAACTTACTCAGCTCCTCTCTGTAAGAATCAATCACCAAGCCAGGGAAAAATTAAGAGAATACGAATAGTCTACCTTTGAAGAGGCACGTTCAGAAATCATAGTGACCTCGACCAAACTACGTTCCAGTCTTCTGTGTACATGTCTTAGATACCAGATACTGTGGACGCTGAAGCCAGCGTCCCGCGAAACTCCCGGAGCATAGCCCTCACGCCTGCCCTCTGAAGCTCCAGCCCTCTCAGAATAATCCCACATCAGCACCACTCGGCCGACTAATCCGCGAAGGGCATCAACGGGTCGACCAATCCATGAAGAGATTCCTTGTGTTGATTTCGCGTCCAACCTTTACTGCGATTCACAACAGTAACTCCTTCGCCCCGCTGCTTCTGCGTCGCTGCGCCTCAGGAGCTACGCTGCGGAAACTTCGTTTTCGCCACTCCGTTCTGGCAGAGCGCGATTCTTCTTGATATTGACATCTCGGGGTCTGGTCAGCAAGACAACAGAACAAATTGTCGCAATAATGCAATCTACCACACTCGATAAGATAGTAAAAGGGTTTCACGGAGTCTATGTTGGACTGTACCAGGTGTGGGTAACCGATATATGTGCCTTTCTCTTTGATTCCTTTCATTGGGATTCTCTTTTGGACAAGACAGTATAGTGGTGATGTGGTGAAAACGTAAACAAAGGAAGACAAGGTAGAATAGAGAAAGTAACTCTGGCCCGGTGACAAGGCTTGGCATCGTTCTTTTCAAGCGGCAGCTGCGGCAGGCATATCAGGCCTCGCCCTCACCTCACCTTCCCAGACCTCGCCTTCAACCTCACCCTCTTCCCTATCCTCGTCCCTATCCTCGTCCCTATCCTTGTCCTCATCCTCGTCCTCATCTTTGCCGTTTTGTTCTCCCTGATCCTTCTTATTGTCTCCGGTCTTGGCCAAGTCTCTCCCTGAGTCTCGCCCTCGTTCTCCGCTTCAAAAACGTACTTGGCAGCAGTCGATAAGGGCTCAAAGATACGCTTGTATTTGAACTCGCCCCTGCAGTAACACAGATCGCGCAAGCTCTGAGGGCCAGCAAACAGGGTAAATGGCGGTAGGTGCATTAATCGAAACTTGCTCTGCTGCATGAGAACCAACTGAGAACAATCAGTTCAATACAAATCCGCTATGCAGGGTTATTGTGCTTCCTTGATCGTGTGTGGTCAGTCTCATTTGCCTCTTATGGAAGGGCGGAGAATCATCCTTACTCATTCATGATCATTGTCCAAATGCCCAGTCTAGCACCATGCATAGTACTCATTATCCTCCCATACAGCCTCCCCCTCGCCCTTCCACCGCAAGCTAGGGATACTCCCGTCCAACCTCTCATCGAATACAACCCTCACAGCGCCATCAGTGCGATCACTCACCTTCTTCGCCGACGCCGCGACGCCATCATCGGGGTTCCACACCAGCACCTTGACCAGCCCCCAGTTTGACGCTTCCAGCACCGCAGCATGCAGCAGCGCAGTCACATCAGCCTGCGGATCTCCGGCAACGCGTAGCACCTTGAGCTTCTTCTCGCGGAAGTCGTGGTCCCAGTAGACCCACGCCTTGCCATCCGCCGTGACGGCCCCGCGGTTGACCACTTCCCGCTTGGCGAGCTCATTCGCCATGAAGCCGTCCCTGGTGAAGTGCCAGGTGATCTGCGCCGCCGACGGCGCAAACGCGATGTGAGGCTTGCCGTCCGCGGGCAGGTTCTCAAACTTCTTCCTGAGCAGGGCGACGTCCTTGTCGCAGAAGGCGGGGACCTCGTCCGCGGCGAGATATCGCACGCCCTCTGGCGGCGTGGGCTGCAACGCCGACGCATCATCCGGGATCAACGACACCTGGAGTGAGGGATAGACCGTCCAGCCCAACTGCGCGTAATACACCGTTCCGATGTCGCTGTAGAGCACGCTCGCCTTGGAGTCGGTATCCATAGCTTCCTTGAGCTTGTTCAGGAGAAGCGTAGCCATGCCGTGACCTCGGTGAGACGGGTTCGTGTACACGGAAGCGATAGCGTAGGCCTTCTCTTCGCGGAAGGCTCCAGAGGCGTCGCGGACGAAGAGAGTCTTGGCGGTTGCTTCGCAGGAGGAGATGATGTGCTGCGGGTCGGCGGGGTCGAAGAGGACATAGTAGGTGCAGTTTTCCGAGAGCTTCGTCTTGGAGAGCGCGGTCTCACGGGTGATATACGCCTCGAGGGACATGGGCGGGGCCCATGAGACGCCATTGAGGCGCCATGCGGCGTCACGCTGTGTCGGGGTCGCGGAGCCGAACTGTACGTTCTTCTCGGAGCTGGCCTGGGTCGTGACGAGGTCGGCCATGTTGAGAATGCTTGAGGCTGTAGATGAGGGTCGGTCGTGAGACGGTTTGGTGAGAGGTTTATGGCCGTGGGGTAAAGGTGAGGTTGCAGGTACGCTTCGGTGGCTGCGTTTCAGCTAGGACAACCGACTCTCAGACCTGATGAGAATTTCCTGAAGATGCGAACTCAGAGTCGCAAAAAACCAAACCGCTTTCAATGTAGACAATGCGTATGTAGTAAAGCTGAGGTGAAGTCAACCTGGCAGCAGTTCCAAGGATGGCAGATCGCGGGCTCTCTAGCGGGCTTTGTAAGAGCCAGGGGACCTCCCACGGCGGGGTTAGGGGGCGTGTACCCCACTGTGGCAGCAACTCGGGAGCTGGGGTATCCTAGAACCACACCCTGCAGTCGAGCTGCGATCCCACACTTCACCACCACCAATACGACTGCGCGAAATCGGGAGACCTGTCCCACGAGGTGCAGCAAACCAGAGGAGATGAGAGAGAGAGAAAAAACGCACATTCCCCCGTTGATTGCATAGCTGTGGCTTGTTGCAGCCTCATTTTGAGTGTGCTTTGGGCCATACAGAACTGAGAGTGTGACCGGGGTGATGCTCAAAAGGGATGGAACCAGCTTCACGTTGGCCAAGCTCATTACTAGTCACACATAGCCGATTGCTTTCTAAGGTCTGTCCTCGACACTCTTATCCCCAATATCTTCAGGCCATCAGGTGTTTCTTTCCTCCTGTGTCAAGTCTTGCGAAGACCCTTCGAGAAACTTTCTTTGCAGCATGATTATAACCTCATCACTTGATTACATCCCGTATTTCCCCTCATCTCAGGATCCGCCTGAAGCAAAAGCCTCGACAAGATGTTGGAACCCAATTTCGATCGCCTTCGTAATCCCGTTCGCTACTAGATCCTTATCCTCTGAGAAGGTGTCCTTCCACCGACCGCTCTTCGCAAAATACGTCTTGGCGAGATACACAAAAAGGGTCTTGGCCTCGCCCTCTCTTTCGGGACCCTCCATCCGATAATCGTCCAGGACTGCGGACAGTAATTCCTCGATCTGGCTGCAAAACATGACCTGGGTACCAGGCCTAATAGCGTTTTGCAGTTCATCCCATATCGACATCCTTTGACTTTCTGTAAGCGGCCGCGGCTCAAGCTCCGTCTCATCATCGAAAAGGAGCAAATCCAGCTTCTCCTTCAAGCCCGCCTTGATGTCTGCCGGCAGATGTATGTCGACAATATCGATGTGTCTTTGGATTTGCTCCCGAAGCGCATCCATAGACCACTTGTTTCCCGTCCACGTTGAGACAGCAGCAATCCAGTGTTTTGTGTCAGTGTTAGTGAATGTTTCCTCCGCCCCTCTGTCCTGCCGTTCTTGAGAGCTATCTTGCTCGTTGCTTACGGCACCGTTTTCTCTCGCTACGTCTGCGACTTTCTTGGCCGCGATCTGGATGTGCTCCACCACCTGATTAAAAGCAATACCAATCACGGCATAACGGACTTCTCTCCAAACAGTCTCCCAAAGCAGACTTTGGATGGTTTCAGACACCTTTTTGCCTTCGTTGAGCTCCAGGACCAGGACGTGATGCATGGCATCAGTCGTCGTAAGAGATGGATGTACATCATACTTGTCGTCCAGATTGATGACATCCTCTGTCTTTGCAAAGTCGTCGCTGAACGGATGGATCAGCGTGACGTTGATGGCCGGCCCGTCCCAAGTCTTGGCCATGGCAACAAACTTCTTCACGATAGCAGATTCGTGTTTGCCGACCGATCCAATGGTGATATACACCATGCACCCACCGAGGGTTGTCACTAGGTGTGTGAAGAACTTCCAGAGAGCACGTGGGGAGTTGTTGGCTTCTTTGAACTGGTCCAAGTCCAGGCCCGCCTGGGCCATCACCTCCGTTTTCTGGAAGAGTATCTGGTGAACCAGGGAGGCTATAGCCGACTGCGCGGTCATGCCGCGGGTCCATATGAGATATGCGGAGGGGACATGTGAGGCGAACGTGCGCTGCTGCTTCTTCCAAATCAAGGCATGCTGGGGATCCGGGGCATCGCACTCAGCCTGGATGATCTTGGTCTCGTGGGAATAGCCTGATGGAACATATTTCTGCTCCAACTTGAACCACTCTATCCACGCTTTTGAAGTTGTCGTCTTGTATGTGGACTCTAGCTCTTGGTGGTACCCGGCCTCAAGCTCGAATCCCCGGAAAAGGTTCTTCCTGATTGCCTCGAAAATCGCGGCGTTCGGGTCCTCGGCCATGGCTTCCTGCTGTTAGCCTGTGTCTTTAAATGAGAAACCTTGAGTGGCAAACCTTTAAAGCCTTGGTACATCTCATGTCTTTGCATCGGAAGATCCCTTCGGTAATGAGCCATCGAGTGACTCGACCACACTTGCATGTGTCTAACGTGCATACAAAGATCCGCGTCGTCTTTGATCTCTTGTTGCACCTTTCTCATCTTCGTCAAAAGATCGCCGTATCGCACCTCAAAAGGCTGCAGAAGGTCGACCATCGCTCTTCCTATTCATACGTTAGCCGTTGTCTCGAATTCATTGTTCTTTCTACTTACTGAAGGGGCTCTTTTTGAAATCGGCGATGACCTTCTCCAGGAACTCTGCGACTGCCTCGTAGAGCTCGACAGTAAACTCTGTTATCCGTGGGGTTGCGTAGAGCATCGCATACCCCCTGATCCGTTCTAAACTTCGACCGATGTCGATAATGACCTCGAAAACCTTGGAAAGAGTGTCGGAACTGGTTTTGGACATCTGCGGCATGTTAGCAACTATCTCTGAATACATGATATGGTCCCCTTACAAGCAAGACGAGCTTTATGCCGCCCCATATCAAGGGCAAGCCCGAGAAGTCGGCCTGGGAAAGGATGTCAAAGACACCTTGGTAGTGATCCAGCGATTTGACGAATCTGGACATTTTCTTCTTGTCTAGAGTACCCTCTTTTGCTTGTTGAAGCTGCTTGGCAATCATAGACAACTCCTGTTTCCCATCTTGGCTTGTGGCTGCGATACCACCTTCGTCCTTGAGGAGCTTCTGGAGTGACAGGACAGCCGCCGTGTATGATGCTTCGGCCTTTCTAGAACAATCGTCAGTAGTCCGTTGCAGTGCTGAACTTTGCGCTTCGTCTAAGGAGGCTGGTTTTCCTGACAAAAACTCTGGAAAAGCCTGTTGCTGCCTCTGCAATATGTGTACCAACACATTTTGGAGCGTCTATGTGAATAGAACTACGCTCAGGGTCACTCACTCGTACTTCGCCCCACTAGCTCTGACATCACCGTCCTTGGCTGGATCGGAAAAGCGCCGAATCACTTCATCATAAGGATTCCAGATCGTAGTTGGGCTAGCGACCGTCGTGGGGCTCCCATCGACGCGGTCCCAAGAAGGCGTACGAAACACGACAGCCGTGTTCAAAGAGGGCCTCTGGTGCATGGCGCCGCTGCATGCCGGCGAGGCTTGGCGCAAAAGCTTGGTGTCTCGGAAGCGGAGACTAAGAGAACAAGCAGTCTTTGACGGTGAGCGAAAGACTCTAAATCGTATCTTTATCAAGAAAATCGCATCTTGAAGGACTCCAAGTTACAGGTCTCCAAACAGGCTACGACGGGAAGTTCGGCGGTGATGGCACCTTGTTCATGAGCCTCGGGGGGCACTAGCTAAAGAAGCGCAATCCCAACAAGAGGGAGCGGCCCTCAAAGACCCTGACCAGGCCAGACTGCAGACCCGACCTTCCCATGATTCTTTCGCAGGGCAGGGGAACCGTAAGGAGGGGTGCGTGAGACAGGGGAGAAGGGCGAGTGTAGCGAATATTGCTTATTCTATTCGAACCTGCCAATCAGCTACGCAGTAAGGTCTCATGATACAAATGGAAGCCTCAGCTCGTGACACGAAAAGGAAACAAGCTCTTTTCTGCTTGGGGTTGATTTCGGCCACCAACTCGGCGGTCTGGATCTCGGGAGCAGAATGGTACAATGCCACTCGAGAGGCGGCTGAATTTTAATAAAACAGGAGACAGGCACCCTCGACCCTGTATCCTCGACATCATCCCAAGAGCCTACCATTATTGACTCTCATGATACTTTCGTGCTGTATCATTCTCAGATAGACAGTCCGATGGGAGGAATGCAATGCGGAACGCCACTATCACCATGGATGCCGTCGTTACCGAGCAGGGGTGCCTCAGCTCGCGGACAGATCACTTGCTTGTCATTGGGGGCAGCAAGGCATTTATTGATGCATGTGAGGTCTAGCGCCGTTCCTCTCTGCAGTCAGGACCGGGTCGAGTCCGTGATGCGGGAGCACAAGCGCTATTCACGGCTTCAACTAGCACACATCTCAATCTGAACGTCGCTTTCAGAATGACATTCCAACTTTCCGCCATCGGTGCCATGTTGTCGTCGCACTCGGGATGAACACACCAATGCCCGAGCTGCCGACAGGGAACGGGAGCTGCGCGAATGACAGGACCGGAGACCGAGCGAACGTAACGGGGCCGATGTGGAACCCCCTTTAGCAACTTTCCCAAACAGGTCAGCCCGGAAAGCGGGACAACTTTATTGGAACCAATGACACTCGAGGACCCTGCGCCAACGCGGCGGAATGGAGCATCCTAATCACCGCGAGCCATCCAGGTCCATTTACAGGGGCACCTTCTGTTGTAAGAGAAACATATCCCAACTCGAAAAAAAAAAGGTCTCCGGTTCTGCACACGTCTCATGACGCTCTCGTTCATGATCTAGGAAAGCCGAACGAAAGCCCTCTTTCCCAACCGGCATCCGCAGCCACCGCGACTGAGTCCCGCCACCCGATACCGATGCGAGGCCTCAACGCAAGGTCCCGCGGGGACCGCGACACAGCGAGCCTCCTCGCCCCTGGGAACTACGACGACGACGCCTCATCCCTGCACAGCAACCGGAGCGATCAGGAGAGCGACAGCGACGATGACCAGCTGCAGCAGCGCGCCCGCAACAGCCGCGAGCTGCGCGCCGCCGACAGCATCGTGTTCATGGAGGAGGACGAGGTCGACAAGCTCGTCACCGATACGCGCAAGAAGCAGGACCTGCATCGCCGAGGGTCGGGGCTCGCTGTTCCGAACCCGTTGAGGATGTTCGGACGTGCCGACGCCGATGGCGCCCGGCCGGGGTCCAGCAACGGGTCCTCGGAGGACTTGTTGAGCGAGAAAGACAAGAGGCAGCAGAGGCGGACGAGGCGGGAGCAGAAGAAGCAGAGGTTGATGGAAAAGGCATCGTACGGCGAGGACGGTGAGCTGATGTACGAGATGGAAGAGGGGGCCATGAAGGAAGGGAGCTCTACCGGCGAGAGCAGTGAACGAGACGACAGCGATGAGATCGACCGGCAACGATTGAAGATGAACGAGAAGACAAAGACCGAGAAGAGGAGGAGCTGGCGCAGGTCGCTGTTCATCTACGGCATGATTTCGGTCGGCTTCGCGATACTGGTGCTGGTGGCGTGGAAGCTGTCGATGAACAGGAATTCAGCGCGGCAGGCCGAGTTCGTCACTAACGGAACCGCGCTCTTTGCGCCGACGACAATCATCATCAGTCTGGACGGCTTCCGCGCCGACTTCCTGCAGCGCGGGCTCACTCCGAGATTGAACGCCTTCGTCAAGGAGGGTGTCTCGCCAAAATACATGAACCCGTCGTTTCCCTCCGTCACATTCCCGAACCACTACACCCTTGCGACCGGCCTCTACCCCGAAAGCCACGGAGTTGTCGGCAATACCTTCTGGGATCCCGAAATGCTCGCCGAATTCTACTACACCGATCCGGCGCGAAGCCTCGACGCTAAGTGGTGGGATGGCGAGCCGTTCTGGGTCACTGCCGAGAACCAGGGTATCCGCTCTGCAGTTCACATGTGGCCTGGCAGTGAGGCGCACATCCTGGGCGTTGAGCCTACTTTCATGGACAAGTTCAACGGCAACGAGCCCCTCGAGAACAAGGTCAGTAGGATTCTGGAGTTCCTCGACAAGCCCGGTATGGAGAATGAGACGGCCAAGGTGGAGGACATGCGACCGCAGCTCATTGCGGCCTACGTTCCCAATGTCGATGCGGATGGCCATAGATACGGCCCCAATAGCACGGAGATCCGCTCCACCATCCAGGATGCCGATACCATGATGGACCAGCTATTCCAGGGGCTTGAGCAGCGCAACCTCACCGGCATCGTCAACGTTATTGTCGTTTCCGATCATGGCATGGCCACCACCGACACTACCCGCCTGATGCAGCTCGAAGATCTCGTCGATACCTCCAAGATCGCGCACACCGATGGCTGGCCTCTGTATGGTCTCAGGCCGAAGAACCCCGACGACCTCCAGGGACTGTACGACGGTCTGGCTGAGAAGGCCAAGACCAATCCCAACTTTGACGTCTACCTCCGCGACGTCAACATGCCCGAGCGCTACCACTTCTCCAACAACAAGCGCATTGCGCCACTGTGGATCGTCCCCAAGACCGGCTGGGCAATCGTGACCAAGGAGGAGATGGACGTCGCCAAGGCTTTGAAGGACGGCTCGGTCTACAACCCTCGCGGACTGCACGGATACGACCACGAACACCCGCTGATGCGCGCCATTTTCATCGCTCGCGGCCCTGCGTTCCCTCATCCGCCCAACAGCCAGATCGACAACTTCCGTAAGCTTACCTCTTATCCAGCCTTTAGAACGTGAACTGACAGAGACAGAAAACATCAACGTCTACAACATACTTTGCGACTCCGTTGGTCTTGTCCCGAAGCCCAACAATGGAACCTTGCGCCTCCCGCTGTCACCGTTGGGCACCCACAAGTCCGAGGACACTCCTGCGGAGCCACAAGACCCCGTTCCCGCATACACTATCTCGCAGGCGCCCGCCTCTGTTGCCACACCGATGAGCGTATCACAGGCGACTCAGTCATCCACGCCGCCAGTCGAGTCGGTTAAGACCATCCAGATTGACCCTCCTCAGCCGTCACCGACGGACGCCGCGGAGGAGAGCAACGGCGCAGACGAGGACGCCATCGAAAAGGGTAAAGAAACCATGAAGGGATTCTGGGACTGGCTTACAGACAAGTTTGATAAAATCTGGGACAAGATTACAGGAAACAAGGGTGATGAGGATTCGGAGAACTCAGAATGATGTGCTGCTTGTAATATTATAGACGGTCGAGACTCATGATTTGGCGTTGGTGGACTGGGCGGCTCCTTTGTTTATACTGGCTGATACTCCAATTGCATTTTCTATCTCGCTGGCCATTATTCTATACCAATATAGTCTGTCTTCTTTGGAAATCGGCTCCCGCTTGTCTATACACACTCGCTGGCCTGACTCGGATCGTATAGTGTTGTCTACATGCCAATGGCAGTATGCCCGTGATATTGCCCCCTTCTGTTCACAGTCAGGTCAGGTTTTGCCAAATGACAGTTGATCTTGATCCCCGAACCTGTCATGCGTTATTCAACGAAGCGTCGGCCTCCACAATTCAAGAGCTACCACCACCACACATTCTGGAGCCTGACGCCGTAGTCGACATAATCGGAATGGCACTAAAACCCCGGCAGCATGTATGCGCCAGCGTCCTTCCGAACGAAAAATGTTACAGGAGGCCCGTCAGGATAAAAGTCTGCAAAAACCTCTGCCGGTCCATATTGAGTATCTGCACTATGGTTCAACTTGAACATGTAGAGTCTGAGACCATTGTCCTTGGCACGCATTCGACTATAATCCCTTATGCCGGGGTGGAAGCTGCGTCGGAAGCGGACACCGATCTCGAGAGCATCAGCCGGGACATAGACCACGGGCTGCGCAATGACGTCGTTTAGATCGATGCTGAACCGGCGCTGGATGACTGGGTGGATGGGTATCAGGTCGTTGGGGTTGCGGCCCGCCAACCGGCTGAAATAGACACAAGCTCTTGTGAACTTGGGAAGGGAGAAGCCGTTTGGGAAATCGACTTGACGCTTGAGGCTGACAGCAAAGGGCTGTTCGATTCGAGGATCCTGGACAATACGGTGGTCCATTTTTATCAAACTGAGGATGGTACTAATTGATTATGATTCAAGCGAATGTTGGATGTCGTATTTCTTGTTGATGTGACAGGCAACTTCTTGGACGAGGTCTTCAGAGACGCGAAGACAGGCCAGACTTCCTTTCCAAATATTCACAAAAAGGGAAGGTAGCCTACCAAAGGTGCTACCACCATATTCGTCTGCTCCGCGTGGTGCCTGACCTACTTATCTAAACGTAAAATGGAAGGCGTGGACAGGCGGAAAGTGCCTCTGGGGCACATCAACATCAAGTAAGGGGGTTTCAGTGATCTTTCTGATATCTGTCCCAGCAAATGACCCAGAATTCGACAAAGGCCACGCTTATTACCAAACCTCCACGAGTCTATACACACAATCATGGCCTTTTTGACATGTTTTCTCATCTCCATCCGCGGTACATCCCATCTTCTTCCGTATCGCCGTCGTAATCAATGTCCTCCTTGTCGTACACATGTTCCGGAGTCACAGGGTTGACTTCCTTTCGATACTCTGGTATGCAAGCTCCGTTGAGCAGTAGTCTAGCAGTTCGCTTCTCGCTGTCGGACAACTGTCGATGTCCTCCAAGCACTCTAGCATATCCGAGGGATTTGAAGTCATCGAAATGCTGGTCGAGGTGCCGTTCTTGGGTGAAGGTGCACACGCGTCCGACAGACACGCAGAAGTCGCAAGCCCATACTGTCTTGCGGCTGTTGGGAAGATTGACCTGCTGCGGAGAGCAATCCAAGCAGGTGAGTGGGCAGTGCATAGCGGCGGGGTTCGACGTGGCCTGGGCATATTAGTCAAGTTGGTCCTGGAGGGCATGTCTGATTTACTTACCATGTGGCAGGCATCGCATGTCTCCCTACCGCTAGGTAGTAGTTTCCGAGACCAAGCGCCGATAGACATCTCCGGATGTTCTCTTGCGTACAGCTCGTACATCATTCTCATGTTGTTCTCCACATGAATACGCTTGGGCGGCTCTTGGATCTCTTTGGGATCGGACTGGGAGATGATCATCTGCTGGGACGCGAAGCATGGCGTGATTTCTTCGACGATAACGTCGTAGGGTTGAATGGCCCAGTGCCGGAACCAACTTCTATTGGCCCACTTAACGTTCGTCAAGGCCGCGATCCAAGCCATTACGCGAGACCACGCTCCAGCGAGGAAGTTGGTATGCTCGGAACCAAGACCGTGCTTCGTGTACGGGAAGGTGTGGTCGTGAGAGTGTTGGTATTGTCCGATAACTTTGCCATCCTTGATGTGATCGATTCTGAGCGCCAGGCGACGGGCTTGCTTCCAGTTGTCCCAGGGTCCGATCTCAGGGACGTTAGCATACGGCGTCGGGTGTGAGTCGCTAGGGTTCCGGGTTATCTCAAAAGTTGGGATAACGTAATCGACATCGTAAAAGTCGCCGAGGGGAAGGATGCACCGAAACTCGTCTTGCCAACCAGAAGGAAACATACGTGCTCCGAGGAAGCAGTACTTGAATCCGCGCTCAAGGTTTCGGTAGACCTTCCGCGGTTGCCCGGTGAAGGTGAACATGTCGACCGTTCCTGTTTGGCTACTTGAGGTCGTGGTTTTGACCCAGAGATTGGACTGACCGAAATTGTATTTGATGAGAATATCGTACATGAGGGTGCCCATGTTGTCGTCCCACTCGACGGGGATGTCGGGATGCATTGTGTCGAAGTGGTTGTGAGAGGTTATGGGCCGTAGGAAAAGCTCCCCCAAGATGGGAGGAGTCTGGTGGTGGTAGTAGGGCCTCGTGACGGTGGGAGTCTCGCTGAACAGTGGTGGGATATTTTGGGAGACGAAGTACGAACGAAAATGATATGGGGGGAAAACCGACGGTGGTCTTCTCTTGGGATGAAGAGGAGAGGAGGGCAATTTTTCCCTTTTTCAATCTCGACGACGGGTGAAGGTAGCCTGCTAAAGGCAGCAACGGGGAAAATAGAACGTAATGTTTTCTGGTCGACTTTTTACTCGCGAAGATATGCTGTAATCGGGAGAATAAGAATCACCTGTCAAATGATTTGGGGTCGTCTCACCTTGCAAAGCATCGCTTCGATGGACACGACAGAGGGATGTGAAATTCTATGCGTCCACAACAAGAGCCATGACCAAGACATTAGATCGATCGGTAAATAATGAAAGAGCTATCTTTCAAGTTGTGAGGCGCTGTTTCAGCAGCCTAGATATCAAAGCAAATTAGCAACTGCAGTCTTATGCAGGATCTGTATTTCACTCTTGGAGGCTAAGGATTACAAGAGAAAGAAATGGCAGCGCCTACCATGACATTGACACACGTTATTACCTTCCCTTCGCATGGCCAGATTGTGCAGCGTTTGAGACCTCAAGTGGTGTCTTTGAACAATGCGGCCAGAGTTCAGCCTCTGAGTAGGACATTACGAAAGCCAGAAAAGTACAGGATTGGGGCCCAAAGCAGCACCTATTCGAGTTACTTGAAGAATCAATAGGAAGCCTAGTTTGTTCAAACAATGACACTAAACCATATGTTGCTATTTTGAAAAGCAGAGCCTCCATAAACAGCGTATTTGGTCGATCTGACACCACCGCAACATCAGGGTCAGATTCTTCACTTGCTTGCGGAGTCCATATCATTTCACAATATGAGTACAGGGCTTCAGAACCTTGCAAAAGATGAGGTCGAGAGCGTATATCCAGGCCTCTGAAGACAGTTAAAATACCAGATGTTGATTCTGACTTGACGGCTTTGCCAGGACACAAGGGCGGTTTAGCCAATGCTTCGGGCTTTAGCTTTTGACTCTACAGGAAGACCGGCCGTATTACATCTTTTCGTGATGACATCCCTGTAGACCGTCGGTTCGAGTACCCATTACCACGGGTGACATCACTGTCAAAAGATACGGACGACGTTCAGTTGCTGTAGTTTGCTGCTGTCTCCAAGGGGTATCACTTTTCGGGGAACCTGTTTCATAGTAATGCAAAAACCTGAAGCGGAAGAAGTCTTGCAATTTATAGGGTATCTGCGCTGCTAAACTGGTGATTTCAAGCCTGTATGCGCAAGAAAGGATGAATTCTTTCCAGAGAGTCTCCCTCACCTACTGGTAGCCTCCTACTTCGCCTATACTTGCTTGGGTGCCCTTGAACCCACTAGAGACCCTTTAGAAGCACTTTGGCGAGTAACGTGGCCGGATATAAGAATGACGTGGGTAGGCCGAACAAATCCGGGGTGAGAATAAATGTCTCGATGCACGCCACGTTCTGGCATGCTGCCTTGTGCAGGGTCTGCTCGTCCAAGAAGTCTGAGCACATGGTGCCTTCGTGATGCAACTCATCTCCCATAAATGTAGAACCAAGCGGAGTTTTCCTGACCGCCGTGAAACCCGAGGCAGTATGTATTGGAAGGGGTACTGTTGATCCTTTAACTGAGTGGGCTATAAACTTCCTCGGCATACAATCGTATGGAGAAAAGGCCGGGTGAACGGTAAGCGGCCGAATTTGCTGTTGGCATTGCCGGATCAATCACTTCTCTCTTGGCGTTTGATATGTCAGTCGCCCTCTTCAGGCATCATCGTCGTCGACCTCCTCCATCATGACCTTCCTGGGTCCAGACGGCTCTGTCTCCTCTGTAGCGGTATCCGTTTTCAAGTAGCCCTCTCGCTCCAGTCTGTCTGCCTCCTCGGGCTCCATCAAGCCACCTTGTCCCTTGCCCTTGTCCAGTTTCATCCGAACCGCAGTTGGTACAAATGCGGCCACTGCCTCCTTTTGCAAGTTGCGCACCATAGGTTTGGCCTCGTACACGGTCTTGGCTTCCGGTGCTGGGGTTGGCGTCTTCTTTTCCTTCTCGTCTGATTTTTCGTTCTCATTTCTCTCAGCCTGCTCGGCTTGCCTGCGAGCGCGTCTCTTCGCGTACCACTTGTCCAGCACTTCCTTCGGTATCGGCGGTGGCGTGTCGCGAGGCATCGGGATGCGCTTCACTTCATCGGGTACGTCCTCATCGCTCGTCAACTCATCGTCATTTCGTCTGCGCTTTCCTAGCACGCCTCCTGAGGAATCGCCATCGCGGTGGTAGCCTCGACTGAATGACGGAGCCTTGTCGCCGAGTGCCTCACGCGCCTTCTTTACGGCGCGTAGCTCCTTCTCGAGTCCATCCAAAACCTGCTCTTCATGTCGTGAAAGTTTGCCGCCTCCTGTTGTAATTGCTTTCAAGTCATCAATCTGCTTTTGGATTCGTTCGGGATTGCGGCGCGCGAGCTTTTCGTTTCGTTGTGATTGTATTGAAGCCTTTCCTGGATGCAAAAGTCAGTGACCGTCTGGATATAACTGTATGCGCGCGAAATTGGTCCCCACGTACCCTTCTTGATCGCCTTGGCCTTGTCAGCTTTGCGCTGGGCTTGCACCGGGTTGTAGTTGCGTTCCTTGGGCATGGTTGTGGTTCTGTTGTGTGAAACAAGGTTGATGATGTGCAGTAGACGGGTTGGCGTTGACGTCGAAAGCTTCCGTCGTCGCCAAGACCGATAAGGAGCTACGGAACATTATCGTCTATCTTATCGCGTCTGATGAGGCGTCCAATCAACAGGGGCCCGATAGTTGCCCCTGCAACATTGTTGACTTAGGACCCCGCAACGCCCAATAACACTATTGCTTTGTTCCCGCTGCCCCCCTAAAACATTCTGGTGTCCACCCAGCGATCGACTGTGCAGTGGTCACTCTCTCTTGGGCAGATCTTGGGCCGACTCCATCCATCACCCTGGACTCCGACCCAACATCAACCCCACGGCGGAGAAGATAACAACACACTCCTCGCTTGCCAGCATCCTCTATCGCGAGTCGGAGTCCTGAACTTTATCTGTACCTTGCAGCGGTATCGACCATCCCTCCCATCTTCTCTTAACCGACCCCTCCTTACGGGTTGATCACTCTTATTTACTCCCTTTAACCGCCCTCCCCCAATCGCATTTACGAGCATCGTCAACGCCGCCACAATGTCGGGCTTCATGTCCAATTTC